CAACCAGGTATCGACCAGGTATCAACCAGGTATCGACCAGGTATCAACCAGGTATCAACCAGGTATCGACCAGGTATCGACCAGGTATCAACCAGGTATCGACCAGGTATCGACCAGGTATCGACCAGGTATCGACCAGGTATCGACCAGGTATCGACCAGGTATCAACCAGGTATCGACCAGGTATCGACCAGGTATAAACCAGGTATCGACCAGGTATCAACCAGGTATCAACCAGGTATCGACCAGGTATCAACCAGGTATCGACCAGGTATCAACCAGGTATCGACCAGGTATCAACCAGGTATCAACCAGGTATCGACCAGGTATCAACCAGGTATCGACCATGTATCAACCAGGTATCAACCAGTTCGACCAGGTATCACCAGGTATCGACCAGGTATCAACCAGGTATCAACCAGGTATCGACCAGGTATCAACCAGGTATCGACCAGGTATCAACCAGGTAATATCCTATGTTACATGTTTCTGCCTTTTCTCAACTTCCTATCCACTTCTGTAGGACGAATCCTTCCGGGGATTGTTTTTCCAAAAACACCATTTTTCTCTTTCAATTCCTTCAATTACCCATTTCTTCTGCCTTCCCCCTTCCATTCTTCATCTTATCCCTTCCTCCTCCTTCTCTTGCTCTTCCATCTTCCTTAAGGCCTCAGTCTTCCTATCTGTTCCAGACTCTCACACCACTTCTTATCTCGGAGCCGCCTTGTGCCGTCCTGCCATGAAAAATACTTAATATTGTGCCGTGAGTGCATAATTTTATGCACTCACGGCAGGTGAGTTGAGTGCAAGAAGCGCACTATAGTTTTTTGTTAAGCCTATAATGGGGTGGTTATCTTGAGATGATTTCGGGGCTTTAGTGTCCCCTCGACCAGGCCTCTACCCCCAGGAAGCAGCGCGTGACAGCTGACTTACTCCCAGGTACCTATTTTACTGCTAGTTGAACAGGGGCATCAAGATGAAAGACACTGCTCATTTGTTTCCGCCACCGCCGGGGATCGAACCCGGAACCTTAGGACTACGAATCCGAATAAACAGAAGATGTATTGGAGCTATTTATGTATACAAGCATAATTTTTTAAACATTTTAGAGAGAGAGAGAGAGAGAGAGAGAGAGAGAGAAGAGAGAGAGAGAGAGAGAGAGAGAGGGAGGTGGGTAGGGTTATTATCAGGAGAAAGCGCCAAGCCATTACGACTATATAGCACTTGGGGGGGGTCAGGATAAGATTATGGGATGGGACGAGGGTGGGAAAGGAATGGTGCCGAACCACTTGGACGGTCGGGGATTGAACACCGACCTGCATGAAGCACTATTCCACATCCTTCCATATCCTTCATTCAAACCCCTGTAAGTGAAAGAGAAGATTCCTACCAAAGACAATTTATTGTCTTAAAACAAAAAAAAATGCAAAATTTAACATCAAACTGAAATTAACCCGTGCAACAAAATTTACCAATAAGCAACACGAATCTAATGACCCGTTACTCGTTAGACCTTAATGGCCTCACGTATTAGGGAAGGTAATTGCACAACGTAATACAATTAATTCCTTCAATTATAGACCCAATTGACGGTAATTACTTGAAGCACATCGCGTAATTCTGACCTCGAATCTAAAGGTACTTTTGTAATGGCTCGCTAGCAGGGGCTAGGAGGATAGGCGGGGGGGGGGGGGGAGGGAGGATGGATAAGGTGCTGGGGGAGGGGTAGAGTGGATAGGTACTGGGGTGGGGGGTTTGAGAGACTAGGTGCTGGGAAAGAAGGGGGTTCCTAGGTGCCTTTTATGTGCTAGGGGAGAGTGGGATGGCTATGTGTTCTGTAACCTAGACCTAATCTACCATAGGCCTAATTATATAATATTCCCTTGTATTCCCTTGTATTCCCTTGTATTCCCTTGTATTCCCTTGTATTCCCCACAACCGTGGACATTTTCAAGAGGAAACTAGATTTATTCCTCCAAGGAGTGCCGGACCAACCGGGCTGTGGTGGGTATGTGGGCCTGCTGCGGGCCGCTCCAAGCAACAGCCTGGTGGACCAAACTCTCACAAGTCGAGCCTGGCCTCGGGCCGGGCTTGGGGAGTAGAAGAACTCCCAGAACCCCATCAACCAGGTATCAACCAGGTATCTTAGAAACTACAACCTTGAATCACACAACACTGGAAACAGTTATAAATGCATCATCGCGGCCAGCCACAGCTTACATGATCACCGCTTTGAGGTGAAAATAGAAAAATGTAATAACAAACCTAAACTAATCTCCCATTAACTTAACTAACCACAAAACCATTAGATATAGATAATAGTGAAGATTTTCGTTGGACAAAAGACTGTTCTTGACAGCATTACCGAACGGAGGAAGCATACTTTTGGACAAGCATATTGTGAGGATTCAGAGGAGTTTGGGGGGAGCAAATCCACAAGGGCCGTGATGAGGATTCGAACCTGCGTCCGAGAGCATCCCAGACGCTACCTAAATCGACTGAGCTACGACATGGTTAAAAGCATTGCAACCAGAAGTTCTACTGAACTTTCTTGGATCCTGCAGCCTCTCCGAGACACAAACCAGGGTCTAACACAACTCCCCCCTGCACTCGAGCTATGTCAATAGGGTGATGCTCTCGGACGCAGGTTCGAATCCTCGTCACGGCCCTTGTGGATTTGTTCATTTGACGCATCACACTATTGTGATTTGTATGTGGACAGCTTGAGTGAGTATATCGTGAGATTGAGTGGTTCAGAGGAGATGAGATGAGAGAGCAGATGGGGTCGTTAATAGACAGAAAGGGGGAATGCCGTCACTCTTAAAATGGACAGGAGTTCTACATTAACACAGATATGGCCTCTCTCCCCAACAGTGAACGGTTGGGGAGAGAGAGTGACAGGGGAGAGAGAGTGACAGGGGAGAGAGAGTGACAGGGGAGAGAGGGTGACAGGGGAGAGGAGAGAGAGTGGGAGAGGGAGACGTGGGGGAGAGAGAGTGACAGGGGAGAGAGTGTGACAGGGGAGAGAGAGTGACAGGGGAGAGAGAGTGACAGGGGAGAGAGAGTGACAGGGGAGAGAGAGTGACAGGGGAGCAGAGAGTGACAGGGGAGAGAGAGTGACAGGGGAGAGAGAGTGACAGGGGAGAGAGAGTGACAGGGGAGAGAGAGTGACAGGGGAGAGAGAGTGACAGGGGAGAGAGAGTGACAGGGGAGAGAGAGTGACAGGGGAGAGAGAGTGACAGGGGAGAGAGAGTGACAGGGGAGAGAGAGTGACAGGGCATTGTTTATGTTTGCGTTTGTTTTGTGTTTGCTCGTCAAGGAAGCGAGGAATTGATATCATAATTAATTTAAGAACTTCTTGGAGTTTAGGATTTAACGAGAGATAGCAGGCCGGATGCCAAGAAATCAAGGAATTAGAGATTTTCTTGAAGCGAAATTTCCAACTCGCGTATTATTTCTACAACTTGTCTTGAGGCTACAACTTTATCTTGAAGCGTTGTAACTAACAAGAACGATTTGCCAGAGGCTTTAGTGTCCGACTCAAGAACCGTAGTTTCTACCAGGCCTCCAGGTACAGGAAAGTGTGTGTTTCTATTCTATATGAGAGCCTAGACTAACGACTCAAGAACCGTAGTTTCTAACTGCTCAGGTACAGAAAAGTGTGTGTTTCTATTCTAGGGTGAGAGCCTAGACTACGACTCAAGAACCGTAGTGTCTAATTCTGGTACAGAAAAGCGGTGTTTCTATTCGATACCCGCGCCACAGAATTACGAGTCAAGAACGCGCTAGTTTCTAACTTTCAGGTACAGAAAAGTGTGTGTTTCTATTCTATATGAGAGCCTAGACTACGACTCAAGAACCGTAGTTTCTAACTTTCAGGTACAGAAAAGTGTGTGTTTCTATTCTATATGAAGGAGGGCTAGTTACATTAGTAATACTATCTGTAGTAGCTAAACATTTGCAAGTATTCTCATTTCACAGTGTGGTTAATAGCAAGGGATGTAAGATTAATCTTAGCCTGGTCGACGACCGGGCCGCGGGGACGCTAAGCCCCGGAAGCACCTCAAGGTAAGGTAGTAGAGTATGAGGATTATTTTCGAGTATTCGTGAGTGAATGAAATAGTTAAGGAAGATCAGAGTATAGTGTTTGGAGAGTGTCTCCTAGCTTTTTGGTTACTGCTGAGAGACAGGGATTTGTTACCTGCTGAGACAGTCGTTTCCAGCTGAGAGATTCCTTAATTGCTGGGATTCGTTAATTGCTGAGAGTCATCACTATGTCACATGGATGGTTGGGGCTGTTCATTCACAACCTCATTCACAAGATTCACAAGATTCACAACCTCAACCTATATGGTTGAGGTTGTGAATCTTACTTCACAGTCTTGAGTAATCTTGTAGCAAGTTCCTTGTCTGGCTCCTTCCGAATGGGTGGAGTGACGCCAAGTCTCCTCCTCGTCTCCCTACCTTGAGGCTACCTTGAGGTGCTTCCGGGGCTCAGTGTCTCCGCGGCCCGGTCGTCTCCCTGGCTCTCTGGAAGCCGTAATTCATCTCAAGTTTTTTTTTTCACTGGAATGTCTTTATTTCTCAAAGTTTGTTGTGGTCATGCATTCCTGAACTTTCCCGAGGAAGGAGGATTCATATGCAGTATCCTGTTCCTCGTCTCTCTTTCCCTCTCCTCCTTCCCCCCCCCCACTCTCCCTCCACACTCCACGCCCACACACTCCCCCCCCCACCCCCACACACACTCCCCCCCCCCCCCACACACACACCACACACTCTCCCCCTTCCCAACACACAACCCCCCCAAATACTCCCCATTCGCACTCCCCCCTACACCCCCATCACACACACGTACACACACTACCCCTCCCCCCCACCTCTCCTCTCTCTCTCTCTCTCTCTCTCTCTCTCTCTCTCTCTCTCTCTCTCTCTCTCTCTCTCTCTCTCTCTCTCTCTCTCTCCAGCACCTGGGCCCTCACTACCCCAACACAGGATGTGTTTCACCCGCCAGTATGGATAATGAGGCGACGGCCGCCACCTTGGTCATTGTTCTTCAACTTCCGTCCGTCTCTCTCTTTGTTGTGCTGTGGCTGGTGGCGTGGGGCTCTCCAGCTGCTGGGCGGCCGTGCGGCTCTCCAGCTGCTGGGCGGCCGTGCGGCTCTCCAGCTGCTGGGCGGCCGTGCGGCTCTCCAGCTGCTGGGCGGCCGTGCGGCTCTCCAGCTGCTGGGCGGCCGTGCGGGGCTCTCCAGCTGCTGGGCGGCCGTGCGGGGCTCTCCAGCTGCTGGGCGGCCGTGCGGGGCTCTCCAGCTGCTGGGCGGGCCGTGCGGCTCTCCAGCTGGCTGGGGCGGCCGTGCGGGGCTCCTCAACTGCTGGGCGCCGTGCGGGGCTCTCCAGCTGCTGGGCGGCCGTGCGGAGCTCTGCAGCTGCTGGGCGGCCGTGCGGAGCTCTCCAGCTGCGGCGGGCCGTGCGGAGCTCTCCAGCTGCTGGGGCGGCCATGCGGCTCTCCAGCTGCTGGGCGGCCGTGCGGGGTCTCCAGCTGCTGGCGGCCATGCGGCTCTCCAGCTGCTGGGCGGCCGTGCGGAGCTCTCCAGCTGCTGGGCGGCCATGCGGGGTCTCTCCAGCTGCTGGGCGGCCGTGCGGGGCTCTCCAGCTGCTGGGCGGCCGTGCGGCTCTCCAGCTGCTGGGCGGCCGTGCGGCTCTCCAGCTGCTGGGCGACCGTGCGGCTCTCCAGCTGCTGGGCGACCGTGCGGCTCTCCAGCTGCTGGGCGACCGTGCGGCTCTCCAGCTGCTGGGCGACCGTGCGGCTCTCCAGCTGCTGGGCGGACCGTGCGGCTCTCCAGCTGCTGGGCGGCCGTGCGGCTCTCCAGCTGCTGGGCGGCCGTGCGGCTCTCCAGCTGCTGGGCGACCGTGCGGCTCTCCAGCTGCTGGGCGACCGGGCGGCTCTCCAGCTGCTGGGCGGCCGTGCGGAGCTCTCCAGCTGCTGGGCGACCGTGCGGCTCTCCAGCTGCTGGCGACCGTGCGGCTCTCCAGCTGCTGGGCGGCCGTGCGGAGCTCTCCAGCTGCTGGGCGACCGTGCGGCTCTCCAGCTGCTGGGCGACCGTGCGGCTCTCCAGCTGCTGGGCGGCCGTGCGGAGCTCTCCAGCTGCTGGGCGGCCGTGCGGCTCTCCAGCTGCTGGGCGACCGTGCGGCTCTCCAGCTGCTGGCGGCCGTGCGGCTCTCCAGCTGCTGGGCGGCCGTGCGGAGCTCTCCAGCTGCTGGGCGACCGTGCGGGCTCTCCAGCTGCTGGGCGGCCGTGCGGCTCTCCAGCTGCTGGGCGGCCGTGCGGGGCTTCCAGCTGCTGGGCGGCCGTGCGGCTCTCCAGCTGCTGGGCGGCCGTGCGGCTCTCCAGCTGCTGGGCGGCCGTGCGGGGCTCTCCAGCTGCTGGGCGGCCATGCGGCTCTCCAGCTGCTGGGCGGCCATGCGGCTCTCCAGCTGCTGGGCGACCGTGCGGCTCTCCAGCTGCAGGGCGGCCGTGCGGGGCTCTCCAGCTGCTGGGCGGCCATGCGGCTCTCCAGCTGCTGGGCGGCCATGCGGCTCTCCAGCTGCTGGGCGGCCGTGCGGCTCTCCAGCTGCTGGGCGGCCGTGCGGCTCTCCAGCTGCTGGGCGGCCGTGCGGGGCTCTCCAGCTGCTGGGCGGCCCTGCGGCTCTCCAGCTGCTGGGCGGCCGTGCGGCTCTCCAGCTGCTGGGCGAACCGTGCGGCTCTCCAGCTGCTGGGCGACCGTGCGGCTCTCCAGCTGCTGGGCGGCCATGCGGCTCTCCAGCTGCTGGGCGGACCGTGCGGCTCTCCAGCTGCTGGGCGGCCGTGCGGCTCTCCAGCTGCTGGGCGGCCGTGCGGGGCTCTCCAGCTGCTGGGCGGCCGTGCGGCTCTCCAGCTGCTGGGCGGCCGTGCGGCTCTCCAGCTGCTGGGCGGCCGTGCGGGGCTCTCCAGCTGCTGGGCGGCCATGCGGCTCTCCAGCTGCTGGGCGGCCATGCGGCTCTCCAGCTGCTGGGCGGCCATGCGGCTCTCCAGCTGCTGGGCGGCCGTGCGGCTCTCCAGCTGCTGGGCGGCCGTGCGGGGCTCTCCAGCTGCTGGGCGGCCGTGCGGAGCTCTCCAGCTGCTGGGCGGCCGTGCGGCTCTCCAACTGCTGGGCGGCCGTGCGGAGCTCTCCAACTGCTGGGCGGCCGTGCGGGGCTCTCCAGCTGCTGGGCGGCCGTGCGGCTCTCCAGCTGCTGGGCGGCCGTGCCTCCCACCCACCTACCCACGCCCACCACCCAATACTACCGCTAGCCAACTATAGGTACTAAGTAGCTTGAAATGTCAAATAGTAAGCTAATAAACAAATTGATTTTTTCGCCAAAATTGTTAATTTTTTTGTGCAAAATATCAGGAAATGTATTGTTGCACAACCGTGTTGACTCGCTTCACTATGTCCACAAAGGGGGCTACAATGCGTGTTAATGGTGACATTTTTTTCTGTACTCCTAAAGTACTGCTTTTTATACAGATATTAATACATGAAATTGTTGTACCCAACGAAGATTTGGGTGTGAAATGAAACTCTGAAAACGGTGTTTCCCGCGCGCTTCAGCTGCTTCAGGCTTCCGTCCACACCAGAACAGTTTCAGGAGGTTTTGTGGGGTTGGGGAGTTTAATAATGGCATTTGCTTCCATACTGGCAGCACCCAAGATGGCGGCCGCGTCACCGTGCTGCCAGGCGCACCTCTCCGATGCCAGGCGTACGATGTGTGTGTGTGTGTGTATGTGTGTGTGTGTGTGTGTGTGTGTGTGTGTGTGTGTGTGTGTGTGTGTGTGTGTACTCACCTAGTTGTGTTTGCGGGGGTTGAGCTCTGGCTCTTTGGTCCCGCTTCTCAACCGTCAATCAACTGGTGTACAGGTTCCTGAGCCTATTGGGCTCTATCATATCTACACTTGAAACTGTGTATGGAGTCAGCCTCCACCACATCACTTCCTAATGCATTCCATTTGTCAACCACTCTGACACTAAAAAAGTTCTTTCTAATATCTCTGTGGCTCATTTGGGCACTCAGTCTCCACCTGTGTGTGTGTGTGTGTGTGTGTGTGTGTGTGTACTCACCTAATTGTACTCACCTAATTGTGCTTGCGGGGGTTGAGCTTTGGCTCTTTGGTCCCGCCTCTCAACTGTCAATCAACTGGTGTACAGATTCCTGAGCCTACTGGGCTCTATCATACCTACATTTGAAGTGTGTGTGTGTGTGTGTGTGTGTGTGTGTGTGTGTGTGTGTGTGTGTGTGTGTGTGTGTGTGTGTGTGTGTGTGTGTAATTACAGTTTTCAGTGTGCTAGATATTCACTGTTGAAGGACCAGTTACCTCTTGCCTGTGTCTCACAAGAATCATATATAAATCTTGTTCGAGTTATAACAAAGGCTCTCTGGCAGTCGAGAAGGATGCAGTCCACCCTTACCTCTTTCTCTTGCATGTTCTACGTTGCCTTGTTATAAAAGTCTAATTGGTTAGTCAACTACTTACCTAAAGCTGTTGCTGGAAGCCCAGGTCTGGCAAGGGTTTATCTTACGGCAATTTGCTCCAAGAGGCTGATGCTTGGAGCAACACATATCCACTACAGCCTGGTTGGTCCGGCTATAATGTTTTTCTCGGTAAGTGGTTTCGTTATCCGGGTCGTTAGTTTCTCTTGTTCGTTACTAGTTATGCTTGTTGGGGATATTGACTTGTAATTACGAAGTAATAAGATGCTTATCTTAACATACTGAGAAGGTTAGGTAAGGTCGGTGTTTTCTATGAAGCTTTTCAAGGTAAACTACTATGTTTAGTATGTCACATATGCAGGTATTAAATAAGTCAATATTGACTGTAAGAAAGTGCGAGAACGGGTTGCCCCCACACACCCCATGCCTCCCCCCCAACACCCCATGCCTACCCCCACACCCCCACCCCTCCCCCCATACACCCACCCCTCCCCCCACACCCACCCTCCCCCCACACACCCGACCCCTCCCCCCACACACCCCACCCTCCCCCACACACCCACCCCTCCCCCCACACACCCCACCCTCCCCCACACACCCCACCCTCCCCCCACACACCCCACCCTCCCCCACACACCCCACCCTCCCCCCACACACAAACACTGCCCACGCGCCCATACAAGCCAATCCGCCTTCATGTCGTCTGACAATGTCTCTTTTCCCAAGAGTTCCTCTTCCATCCCTCTCCCATCCAGCATCCTGGTATCCTCTGATCATCCTTCCTGACCCCCCCCCCCCCCCCCGGGAAGCAGCCCGTGGCAGCTGTCTAACTCCCAGGTACCTATTTACTGCGGCGGCCATATCAACAGCACATTGTATTCAGCTCGTCCGATCCACTTTCCTGTGCTGGGGCCAGATTCACGAAGCGGTTACGCAAGTACTTACGAACGTGTACATCTTTCCTCAATCTTTGACGGCTTTGGTTACATTTATTAAACAGTTTACAAGCATGAAAACTTGCCAATCAACTGTTGTTATTGTTATAAACAGCCTCCTGGTGCTTCGGAGCTCATTAACTGTTTAATAATTGTAAACAAAGCCGCCAAAGATTGAGAAAAGATGTACAGGTTCGTAAGTGCTTGCGTAACTGCTTCGTGAATCTGGCCCCAGATTGTCATTGAGGTAGGCCCGTACAGTGAACTTCCAGTGAGGTGCAACCGCGTTCTTTTGCGAAAATTTAGGTTTACAAACTTGCTCTTCTTACGGACTAACTGGGAGACTTCGCAAAGAATGTTTCCTGAACTCGCTCGAACATATCTGCCTGTATTTACGGGCTATTCATGCCCGTGCCACCTCTGAATCATCTTCCGGTACAGACAGTACTGTCTGTCTTCACAGACAGCCTTCCCTCTTTTAACTTTTTGTGCCATGTTCAAATCTGCATTTTTTTGCGAATTCTCTCACAAATGCACGCTGCATTGTCTTGTTAGACCGTGTTCGAGTACTCACTTATCATACAAAATACCTTCTATTTTCCAGTGAATAGCATTTCCATATCTGAAAAGAAAACAAAATTAAACAAAGAACTTAGAGTTGTTTGTACACAAACTATTGAAAATTTAGAGCATTTGAACGAAAAATGGTCACGTTATTAGATTAGAAAATTATTAAATTTTTCTGAGACACCCTGTGTGTGTGTGCATATATATATATATATATATATATATATATATATATATATATATATATATATATATATATATATATATATATATATATAATTAGTGTTTGACGTTTCAACTCTGGGATCGTTTTGGTAATTGAAATTAAGACTTAACGAGCTGGTCGCAGCTGTTAGTGGAAGACTATAATTGTATAATCTCTGTCATTAACTGGATCAGGTGCCTCGCTGTGTATGGAGTGTTATTATAGCACGCGCGTACGCACACACACACACACACACACACACACACAAACGCAAACACACACATCTAGCATTGAATGCTAGATAATGTGTTAGATATGATCCTTCAGTATGCTGGTCCATTATATCGCCAAGTATATTCCACCATACCTCCCACAGTATACCCCAGCATACCAGAATATTCAGGTGCTGGGGTGAATCCAGGTACGTTTGTTAATTATCCAGGTGATGAGATGGTATTACCTTTCATGATGAGATCATGTCTCTCTCTCTCTCTCTCTCTCTCTCTCTCTCTCTCTCTCTCTCTGTCTCTGTCTCTGTCTCTGTCTCTGTCTCTCTCTCTCAGTCCTGTCATTTACAATTTCATTGGGGTCTTCGGTGCAATTCGCTAGGCTATTTGACCTATTAACGAATCACTTGACCATTAACGAGCAAGCTGCCAAATGGCAAACGAAGCTAACGAAGCTAACGAAGCTAACGAAGTTAACGCAAAAACGAGGATTTTAGGGAGAGGAGATTGAGAGATTGAAACTTCATATATAAAGAATTATAGAAATATGAAAAAAAGATACAAAACACAAGAGAGGGAAATAGGATGGAGAGACAGTGACGAAGAGGAATAGAGGAAGGATGAATAAGAAAAGGAATTAGAGAAAAGGGAGGAAGAGCACATGTTGAATAAATTAGCGATTATCTTTATCATCTTTCCCGTGTTCGCTGATGAAATATTAACACGGAAGCTTTTGATGCTGGCTGAAGGTGTGGAGCTTGTGTAGTTGAACCTACCTAGCTGCTCTTTCAGGTCGAGTTTCAGCTCTTGGGACACGGCTTTTTGCTGTTGTTGACCGCCATAGTGACAGTATTGGGCAGCGTCACTCATCCTGTGAGTGGACACACCGCCATAGTGACAGTATTGGGCAGCGCCGCTCATCCTGTGAGTGGACACACCGCCATAGTGACAGTATTGGGCAGCGCCACTCATCCTGTGAGTGTACACACCGCCATAGTGACAGTATTGGGCAGCGTCACTTATCCTGTGAGTGGACACACAACCATAGTGACTGTATTGGGCAGCGTCACTCATCCTGTGAGTGGACACACCGCCATCGTGACAGTATTGGGCAGCGTCACTTATCCTGTGAGTGGACACACCACCATAGTGACAGTATTGGGCAGCGCCACTCATCCTGTGAGTGGACACACCGCCATAGTGACAGTATTGGGCAGCGCCACTCATCCTGTGAGTGGACACACCACCATAGTGACAGTATTGGGCAGCGCCACTCATCCTGTGAGTGGACACACCGCCATAGTGACAGTATTGGGCAGCATCACTCATCCTGTGAGTGGACACACCGCCATAGTGACAGTATTGGGCAGCGCCACTCATCCTGTGAGTGGACACACCGCCATAGTGACAGTATTGGGCAGCGTCACTCATTCTGTGAGTGGACACACCGCCATAGTGACAGTATTGGGCAGCGTCACTCATCCTGTGAGTGGACACACCGCCATAGTGACAGTATTGGGGAGCGCCACTCATCCTGTGAGTGGACACACCGCCATAGTGACAGTATTGGGCAGCGCCACTCATCCTGTGAGTGGACACACCGCCATAGTGACAGTATTGGGCAGCGCAACTCATCCTGTGAGTGGACACACCGCCATAGTGACAGTATTGGGCGGCGCCACTCATCCTGTGAGTGAACACACCGCCATAGTGACAGTATTGGGCGGCGCCACTCATCCTGTGAGTGAACACACCGCCATAGTGACAGTATTGGGCAGCGCCACTCATCCTGTGAGTGGACACACCGCCATAGTGACAGTATTGGGCAGCGCCACTCATCCTGTGAGTGGACACACCGCCATAGTGACAGTATTGGGCAGCGCCACTCATCCTGTGAGTGGACACACCGCCATAGTGACAGTATTGGGCAGCGCCACTCATCCTGTGAGTGGACACACCGCCATAGTGACAGTATTGGGCAGCGCCACTCATACTGTGAGTAGACACACCGCCATAGTGACAGTATTGGGCAGCGTCACTCATCCTGTGAGTGGACACACCGCCATAGTGACAGTATTGGGCAGCGTCACTCATCCTGTGAGTGGACACACCGCCATAGTGACAGTATTGGGCAGCGTCACTCATCCTGTGAGTGGACACACAGCCATAGTGACAGTATTGGGCAGCGCCACTCATCCTGTGAGTTGACACACCGCCATAGTGACAGTATTGGGCAGCGCCACTCATCCTGTGAGTGGACACACCGCCATAGTAACATATACAACACTCCCCAATAGGAAGAAAACCCGCTGATCATCGTAGATGTAGCAAACAATTCCACGCTCATAATGCCATCAAAAGCGTTTAAAATATCACTGTAGAAGAAAAGCTTCGTTGATCTTGTTTACAGTCTCAGTCACAACTTAAGTGGATGTGGAGGCTGCATCTGGCTCCCTCTCGCTTGCTCAGTCATGGCAGTGAAGTTTTAAG